CTGTGAGACACTAGCTGTTATGGTCTGTGTCTGTGTAACACCCCTCAAAGCCACATGCAGTCATGTGGGGCATGGGCTTTTCACAGGTGGCGGAATCTAGAGCTTGTGGTTGGTTCATTATCTAATGCTAGGATCAAGGGTGTGAGTGCTACCCCTGCCCTAGGGTGGGGTGACTGCATACAATATAAGGGAAGAAAGGAGACTTTCTCCCCTCTTTGCTCTTGTTACTTCTACTGTCTGCCAGTGCCATGAGGTGTTGCCCTCTGCCATACCAGCCTGCCTTAGAGCTAGCTGATTATGGACTGAAACCTGAAAGACAACCCTAGCCAAGTTATGTGAGCTAAATTACCTTTCCTCATTTAACTTTCTGTCAGGTAGTTTATCTCAGCAAGGAGACAAAAGGCAGACACTAGCTCTGCTCTTTCTGGTATCTCCTTACCACCATCAGCCTCCTCATTCAGGCCACCAAACCCAAATCAGCAGTCCAACACATGAATCATAGGAACTAAAAACACTGGCCTCTGTGCGGAAGGTACTCCAGGATGTACATCCCCTAGAAACCTCACTGACTTAGCCCAACTTCAGCCCATGGATATCTTTGTTCCACATGGAGATGTCTGGTAGTTAAGTAACAGATGTCTGAACTTGACCCTTCCCAGTGGCTGGACTGGAACCTATGTCCCAGTCCAACTGGTTATTCCCTTTACAATTTCTCAGAGGTCAGTCACTCCTGGTCCTTCCCATGTCTCTAGAAAATGCTGCTCAATAAATCAGCCTCAGGTTCCTTTGCCTCTCCTCACGGACCTATGAGGGGTCCTCTATAAATTTAAAGCTCAAAACCAAGTAACTTCAGGATTTAAAAGTTCACTGTTCTCTGGTGGGTGACTACCAGTAAAAATGTAGATTGGATAAACTGTGTTTACTATAATCAACAAAGGTTTAAAAATTACATCTGGGATGCCATTAAGAAACTAGCTGAGCAACTCAGGCCTGCAGGCCAGATGGCCTAAAAAAAAACTGGACATGCTCTGGATATGGTTCTGGATAGGAAGGGTTGGCACGAAAGCCAACCCAGATTCCCAGTTAAGCACCCATTGTTACAAAACTTAACTGCTAATTTTACTCATGCCTTCCAATCTAAGTATTTTTGTGTAATTAATGTGGTTAAAATATTTCTTGTACATTGCAAATTCTTAACAACTTGCCTTTTGCTTTCTGCAGGTGTTAACGAGTACTAATTCAAGGTTAAAGTCTGTTGGCAGCCAGATTTGAAAATACAACCAAAATTATTTTAAATTTTAAATAAAAAACTGGAGCCAGTGTGGTGGTGCAAACCTGTAATACCAGCACTTGAGTGGCTGAGGCTGGAGGATCCCATGAGTTTGAGGCCAGCCTAGGCTACCCAATAGGTTCAATACTAGCCTGAACTACATAGCAAGACCCTGTCTCAAGAAAACAAAAACAAAAATCAAAAGTTGGTTAAATACAAAATGAGGACAATTCAGACCCTTTTAACTTTTTTTCTGTTGGTTACCAGAAAGGTTGGAAGCTGGAGGGCAGAGGAGCCAGTGACTCCCACCATGTGAGAGTGGGGAAGAGAAGCAGGCAGCCTTTGCTTTTTCAGTGTATGATCCATAGTTAAATCAAAAGCTGGTGTTTCCTCCAAAGTTAGAAAATTTTAAAAAACCCTCAAAGTCCTTTCCTCACCCTGCCCTTTCTGCTTATAAATCTATAGTAAGAGTCTTTCTCTCTCACCTCTTTACTGATTTAGTTTATTGAAAGAAATGCCTATACTAATTGATCACCCCTCCAAAAAAGTCCTGAGTTGTTAGTTTATAAATACAGCATCAATAACAAATTATTATAGCTACAATTCAACTCAGCCAGTAGGAGTGCACTCTGATCTAGAAGTAATTGTGTGTGTACATGTTTTTCTCCTTAAGATACCTAGAGTTATTTTGTTAAAACTTTTTTTAAAGCTCATATTTTTATTTATACAATTTTTTTATTTTTTGCTCTGACTCTTTTGGCCTTCCACATAAAAACTAGTTATCTATGTTTTTAGAAATAGCTAAGTCCACTTAAAAGATTACAAGATGAGGGTTAAGAGACTTCAAACTAACATTAGATTTATAAATAAAAACCTTAAAGAGTTTAACATAAAGGTTATATGTGATTTACACTGTATGCTTCTGTACATGAGTCTTCAAACATATGCTCTACTCTAGGATGCCTTATAGATAAGGAGACACTCATGATAGCAGCACAAATGCCTGTGGTCACACATAGCTTAACAGCAGACTAATTTTATTAACTTTTTTAAAACAGAAGGCTAATTTAAATGAGTTGATCAAAATAAAGATAAAGACTGGTAATGTGTCTCCACTCACGTTGTTAGATAACCAAGATAATCAAGACAGTGTACAAATTTAATTTTACAAATACAATGGGTATTATTGTCTGTGTTCAATAATTTACGGGTTTTTGGTCAAATATATAAATAGCTGAAATTGGTAATGGTTATGAATCATCTGAACAATGTTAAGGTACCTTAAGTGGAGACCCCTTTGACCTTGGGGAACTGTTGAACAAGACTCCACTCTGTGGCTGAAAAAGCAGCTTCCCAGGCCAAAATTTGTTGAGTTTCTCCACTGATGGGTGGTTTGTCCAGCTTTCCCAGAGCCTTATGATGCCACACCCAACAGTTATTAAGTAAATTATACTTAAATTGGTTATAAATTAAAAGTTAAGCTTTCTATGTCTAAAGCAATAAGATTTGCTGATTATGATTTATTTAGTTAAATTTACAAAATTAGATTTAAGAAGAACATAATTTTATATATATTAATTTTATTGGTACAATTTAGATATACATAAAGACCTATTTATGATAGGGAACTTGTACCTGTACATAAGATATCTTAGTTCCTCTTTCTTCTCTCTTTTCCCTCCCTTTCATCCCCTCTTCCTCTCATTATTTACAAAGCTTTGTTTCCATTTTATCCTTTTATTTTTCTCATATTTTTCTTTTCCCCTCTCCCCTCTACACCATCTATATATTGCAAGATAATTTACTGTACTTTTCATTGTTAGGCTTTGTTTATAAAACATTGTTTTAAGAATTAAAGATCATTTGAGTGTTGGGATAGGGAAAAGGAGAAAAGAAACAAGGAAAAAAAGATAATTATACAAGATAGATAACTACACTACTAATCTCTGTTCATCAAAAAGAATGGTTTGGGCTTTCATTGTTTGATTTTTTTCATATCTATCTTGTAAACAACAGCTTTGAAGATAACAATATGCAATATGTTAACCATTGTTAATCTATTAATTTTGAAATTCTCTATTGTTTTTATTCTTTTTTATTTTAAAATAGAAAGTGTTGGCTTGTAAATTGTTTTCAATAATCAGTTATGAATAGTTAAATTAATAATTATTGTACACTAGAAATGAAAAGAAAAAAGATGTGAGTCTAAGCTTTAAAGTTTACATAGAGTTAAGACTACATAAATTTAGTACAAAATAACAAATAGGTGCTCTCTTTAATATAGATGTGTGGAAGTTAAAAGTGATCAAATATTCTGAGATCTCTTTTAAATTTGTTCCTGACATTTAAAGCTTTATCTACATCTACTGACTTTGATTAAACATTTTTTATAATATAAATGAGACACACTTTATGGGATAAATCTGTGTATGGTCATTAACACTGTTTCCTAAATTTATAAGACTTCCAAAGATGTCCTTTAATTCTTGACAGTATAGAATTGGCAAGGTTGGGTGGTGAAAGATAATTAAGATACCCTTCATGGCATAACTAAACTAGTTTCCAAAAATACTGCCTAATTTGAACAGAAAATGAGATTTGAATGTGAATAATAATAATGGATTTTGCTGATGTTCACTTGTTATAAAACTAGGACTCATCAGGGAGGAGAATCACAATTTCAACTCCAGGATGGACAACTTAGCTTACTGAGAACTTGTCTCAAAATAAAATCTGGAAATGTAGCCCAGTGCAAAGGCCCTGGGTTCAACCCCCAGTACAGCAGCAGGAGACCCAGGACTCAATACTGTTAAGAAAACTGCCATTTAACATCCTATCAGCAATTTGGCTTCCATGATCCGTAATACTTCATACCACAGAACTTACTCACTTTCAGTGCTGTAACTATGTAACATGGCCCAATCTCCCATTTTCCAAAATGGCTGCACTTCCTCCTTCTAGTTAAGGTCAAGAGGGAAGAGTAGTTTTTAGTGATTCTGTTTATCCTTCCAACTTGTTCTTGACGTTATAGATTTGTGTCCACTGTCCCTCTCCCAAGTTTTAAAAATTAATTTTTCATTATTCTTGAACACTTCTCCTTAGGAACTGACATTGTGTGGAAATCATACTCATTCTGTATTTTGCCTACACATTAAACCAGGTCATTTATCCTAACTAGCAATGTAGCAGTAACAACGTTATTCATCTTAGGAAGATTTAGCTGAAGCTCCTGAAAGATTATGAGTGAATGAATATGTAACACTGCTTTCTAGATTCAGACTCTGAAGCTGAGTGGCTAGGCACCTTAATTAAAGAAACCTTGCATGTATTTGGTCTATTTTTAATAAAAGATATGCCTGAGAATAATGTGTTAACGTCAAATTGTCTGTCTGAAGTGATTCTTTGTACAGCAACTTCAACTTACGTTCCTATGATGTCGTTTCTCTGCCATTACTCTCTGCAAACATCCAACACCTGATCTAATTCTGCGCTACTACTGTCATTTTTCTTTGGGACGTTTTACCACTCATGTGCTTTCCACACTCAGATACCCTGTCTAACTACATTAAGTTCAGGTGGTAAAAGGGGCTAAATAAAATGTTAATTGTTAATTACTCTACCTACCAGAGGTCTAGGTCAAGCCAGCTTTAATGCAGTTAGCTTGAGAATACTTTAAAACCCACCAGGAATGACATAAAACACTTCAGTTCTGTAGAGTTGTAATGTGATGTAAACTGCAAATTGTTACAAAACACACCAGTTATGTATTTTAATCAAAACAATTTACTTTTTAAAATATAAACATGGCAATAAAAAAACACTTGTAAGTTCTAATTTTTTTTCAAAATACAACTGCAATTAATATTCAAATATCCAAGCTTGAAATTCCATAAACTGCTTTCTTTTGAAGTGATAGATTACAGTCTTTCTGATGCAATTGCATATTACTTATGTCCCTTTTTAAAAAGTGTAACCTACAGCTCAAGGTTGTGTGAGGCTCTGCTGCACTATGAGAAAGTATTCCCAGTCCAGAAGGGCCATGTACAGGCAGGATTCCTGGGTTACATTTGAGTAGAGAAACAGATTTCACACAGCAAGAGCACTGACCCTTAATATTTCAAATTTAAGTGATGTTGTAAATCTCCTCAAATTACCAGATACTACCCTTAAGTCTTTCAGTAACGTTCCTAAGGGTCAGGTAAGCTCCCTGTTAAATAGAAGGATGTGAAATGGGGCTCCTAAAACCAGGTGAACTTACAGAATAGACTTTAAGAAAATTTATGCCACTTGCTACCAGCCCCTAATGTCTTTTTAATACATGTGAATTAACACTGCTCTTAATAATCCTCCACCACATCCAGAGAAAAGAAATTTCGTTGATCAAAACAGTGCACAGCCCCCGGAGAACTATTTAAAAACAGAAGAAACATCCTTTAGCAATACAAGCCACTCCAAAAATCAGTGTAATTTTAAGCTTTGATGCCAGTAAAGGTACAGAATCTACAGTTATAAAATATTGTTTTAATTTTTAAAAAGTGGAATATTGAATTTTCATCCCTCCTAATATTACCGTTAAGAGACACTCGGGGAGACAGTGGAGGCAGCAGTAAGAATACGGGCCACTTTCCAGTGGGCGGCACAGAGCCAGGTTTGGGGAGCGCAGTGAGCACGGTGACCCCGCTGTACCAGTGCAGGCTGGCACAACAAGCAGCCAGGGGGCCAACATTTAATTCCAAAGGCCTGGGGCGAACTCCACAGCAGCAGGCCACTGCACGGCCAGCCTCTGGGAGTGGAATTAGGGAAGAGTCATTCAGTCACAGTAGAAGCCGGCAGTGGGAAGCCGACTGGGGGAAATTCTGATGGGAGGTAGAAGCTGGGACCACCTGGGCTCCACCCAGGTGGCTACCAGAAGCCAGTTTCTTCTCTAAATACAAAGGCCTGGAGGCAACGTCCTGGCCTGGAACCAGCAGAGTGGCCTTGGCCCAGCGATGTGAGCACGAAAGCAGGCTTGGCCTGCAGCGGGACAACGGCACCCCCTGCCCTACCGCCAGGGCTTAAGAGCAGTGTATGGTGTCCCACAGAGGAAGCTGTGCAAGTTGCGTTAGGAGCCAATTGTACAGTGGTCTGGGAGCAACCCCAAGCTTGCCCCACCAGAGGGCGTCACAGCAGCTGGGTGAGCACCACCGAGACAACCAGGGTAAGGACAAGCGGGCATATGCATGTTGTCCGCTTAAGACCAGCTCCCTGAGTGTCAGCCCCCACACCAGAGGCCAAGATCAGCCCCGTCACCCACATAGATCCTACTGCAAACCTGGCAGGATGACACAGCACATTTCTGGAACAGACACTACCACAGAACTGTGGACACCAGAGTTTTATTTTCCTTTTGTTTTCTTTCCTTTTTCTGTCTGGTTGGGAGTTTTTTTGCGAGCATGTGTCTAATCTTTTGTTTTCTTCTATTCATCTTGTGTCTATCCTCAGATCGCTCTCGATTTTATAATGTCTTCATAAGTGAACACTGTCTCCTCTGATTCACTTCAATATTCTTTTGCTATCTCTTTCATCCTTTCTCTCCTGTGCTCTTCTCCAGTTTCCCAAAACTTGGGTCATCATCCTTTGCCCTCCAGCATTGCCTTTATTATATTTGTCCTCATTCACCTGTTTCATTCCCTTTCCCTCTTAATCCCCACCCCCAGAGTAAAATCACTCTACTAAAGGGAAATCACTGCATCTAAGTCCATGCTGTATGCTGGGCTTTGTTACAGAACTGTACAACCTGATGCTATTACTGCTAGCTGTACTACATTAGCCAGGATGTCAGTTGTAATCAGTTTTTCTCCCTTGTATTGTCTGAGGTCATAACCATTACCATACTCCTGTACCAAAGGACTAGGTAAAGAGATAGCAACTTCTCATTGTTAATAAACTGGAAAGGTAGGTACTTGGGCTAGATACCACCTACACCTAGATGATGTCTCTGAGGAATGGACATTTCCCAGGGAAACCTCAATATTAGTGATGAAGCTATCATAAAAAATCTACAAGCATCAACAGACCAAAACAACAGAGTAAAACAAAATAGAAAATGACAAGACACAGGAAGAGACAAGAAGATGGCAGCTTGACAGGTAGCTGGGTAGAGAGCCTCTCTAGGAAAAACAGCTCAGACCCTAGAATTTGATAACGTGGAGAGGGCCGGATGAGAGAAGAGGGATTTTTTTGACCCATAACAAAACTGAAGGAAAAAGAAAAATAGGAAGAGGAAGGAAAAACATGGGTGGAGGGCTGGAGCTGGATGCGGACCTGTCCCATGCTGTGCTGGGAACACCGTGGAGTCGCACAATTCAAGGTTGCGTTGAAGCCACTGCTAATAGCCAGAGTTGGTGAATCCCTGGCCCTTGGCAGGAGGACATGGCACAGCAGAGAGTGGAGCCAAGGTGAAGAACTGCATTAATTCTCAGTGAGTGCTGGAAATTGGGCCCTATGGCGGGTGTGGCCGGCTGGAAGACATGTTGAAGTTGGGCAGAACAGGCCTGAGACCAGCGCCAGGGTGCCATCAGTCAGCTGCCCCTGGCCCAAAGCAGACTGGTAGGACCTGCTTGGGCTGAGTCACACCCCTGGTCAGGACCCAATAGCCAGGGACAAAACTGTCCCAACCCTGTGATATCCGCCACAGCACAGCCTAAGTTGCTGAAGGCATTTGCGGTTGACTGGCTCAGAGGAGAGGGGCCAGCCCACATCATCCCTGCGTGCACCTCACATAACAGCCAACTTGAGAAGGCAGCAAGCCCCAGCCAGCATGCTTCAGAAAAACTGTAAGCAATTCAAAGAGGGCCTGAGACCTCCACCACACCCCTGTTTGAAAGAAGCCAGAAACATGACGAGAAAAAAATAAGAAAAAACTTCCAGCTGATGACCCTGGGAAAATAAGCCCAGGAGAGTTAAATATAGAAGAAGAGAACCACTGCAGCAATCATGCAATATTGGCTACAACATCAGCGGATATAAAGAAATACCTTCATGACCTCATAGACAAACTTAAAACTAAAATTGTAACTCAAGTGAGGCAAGATATGAAAAGATTAATAAAAGAAATGCTAAGCCCCTCTCAAGAAGACACATATGGAAGAATGGAAGAACCCAGAAAAGGAATAGAAACCTTTGGTGAAGAATATAAACAAAATCTAGAATAGATGAGACAGATCCAAAGAGATTACCAGGAAATTAAAAACTCCATTGAAAGCTGGCAAAATGCCTTGACAGAAACTAAAGTTAGCCTTTTGAAACTTGAAGATAGATTTATAATGTGTGATCGTGAAAGAAAAGACTTCTTAAAAATAACAAGGAACTAGGAAGTAACAATTCAAAAGCTAGAAAATGACAAGAGAATCTATAATTTAAGAATAGAGAACATGAGGTGAAGAAGCAGGAGTCACCACAAATGAATTACAAAGGCTATTCACAGAAATAATTAAGGAAAACCCCCCAAGCATAGGAAAAAGAAATGATATCCAGATAAATGAGGCATACAGAACTCCAACCATCTACAACCAAAACAGATCTACACCCAGACATATAATAATCAAGATTCCAGAAATTCACCACAAGAACAGAATATTAAAAGTGGTAAGAAAAGAATCAGATCACCTATACAGGAAAACTCATCAAAATAACAACAGACTTCTCAACACAAACTCTCAAATCAAGAAGAGCCTGGGGGGAAGTAGGCCATGCCTCGAAAGAAAATAACCTCCAACCCAGATTGATGTACCCTGAAAAACTCTCTCTCAAAATTAATGGAGAAACAAGATGTTTCCAAGACAAGGACGAACTGTGGGAATTCATGGCCACCAATCCAACCCTACAAAAAATACTGAAGGAACTTCTAGAGAGAGAGAGAGGAAAAAATACCAGGAGTCCAGCAACAGTGGCAGAGAGACCTCAATGAATGGGGCAGACAGTGGAATGAAGGAGAAAAGTGAACAAATAATTGCAGAAAAATTGAATAGCAGAGATGAGGCAGAGAAGGTGGGCTATAATCTCTAATATAGATAGCCTTGATACACTAACAAAAAGAACCACAGACAGAGTAGATTAGGAGGCAGGATCCATCAAGATGCTCTGAATAGGAGATATACTCAATCTGAAAGGTTAATAAAGTCAAAGATGAGAAAATGATGCTCTATGTGACAGGGAACCAGAGAGAAATAGAGGCAACTCATCCAGCAGCTGCGGATAGGTTGGAAAGTCATGACACTTTTGTGCAGTGGAGTACTACTCAGCTAGAAGGAAGGAAAACCTTGTGGCTTTAGTTACAGGAATACAGCTCAAGATCAAGCTCAGAAGTAAAAAGTTTCAGCACCACTCAGATAGATAGCAGGTTGCTCCTCTAATCTAAAAACTAAAGGAGCGAGAGGGACCCAAAATATACAAAGCATCCTGAGAAAGGGAAAGGAGAGGAACTGCCTAAAAAAGGTAGGCAGAGGACATTGTTAATAGTGTATCAGGATTTAAAAGCCACATTAGTCTTATTGCTCTGTTTATTTTGATTTTATTTTGTTCCAGTCTGTCTACTCATACTAGATTTGAGGGCACAGACAGCTAAACCCAAAATAGCAGGCTATACTATGGTAACTATCCTTAATTTCCTATTAACTTAAACTGAAGCCCTATATTACTTACATTGTCTTACTATGGCTGATCTTATTTGAAGCTGGTTTGTTAGACCACTGTTTTGTCTTGACTGATTTTATTCATGTTTGATATGCTTGATAGTATCAAGTCTGAGAGTAGAGGCAACTATTCTGAAGATGACAAGATGTAATAAGATATCCACTCTGGTTTGATTATTAACTGCTTTTGAAGTCCTATAATGTCTCCAATGTTGTGTTTTTATTAAAATTGCTATATAATGCTATTTAATTATATTATGTCTGATGATGTAGACAATTCTATTGAAAATAACGAGAAAGCATAGTTACTACTGTAGATCACCTAATATTGTGGTTTTATATGTCTTTCGTTTCATGTTTTTCTAGGAATTTGTTTTGTTGTCTTGTTTTGATCTGTTTTTCCCTATAATACAGAAAGGATAGATATACATGTAGATATTCACACATATGGAGAATTTCTAAACAGTTTATGGGAACAGATTATATAATGCACGATGTAATGAACAGATACTCTGAATAAGAAGAGACACTAAGATACACAGTGCTGTCTGTAGCATTATGATATAAAATCTAGCAATATTATTATTCACTGTTCAGAATGATATTGGTCTAGTCTCTTATGTTTAATTTTAGCATACGTAAAGATATGGAAAGCTACTTCAAAGAGAATGAGAGACATTATGGTAGTCATTGTTGATTTCCCCAGTGTCCGGTCTTGAAGACCTAAAAAGTCTTCATCATTCTGTTATGACTAGATTAGTTCTACAATGTTCAGTATGTATTCAATATGGGTGAAAATAGGGACAACTATTTGGAAGAAAACTAGAGACAAAATGATAGACAGTAATGATCTCCAGTGGAAATCCATGTTTCTTAAAATTATTTCCTTATGATCTGTTTTGTTCCATTTTGTTAAAATAAAAAAAAAGAAAATGACAAGACACAGAAGCAAAATGTAGCCCTAGACCTCTGGCCCACCCAGGACAAGTCCAGAGCATAATGAGATAGAGAATATTGGAAGACACCCTCTCGAACTTTCTAATATGATAGTATCAGAAGTAAAAAAACAAATGGAGATGCAAGTACCATTGTCCAGGAGTCTCTTGAACTCAAGATCATATCTTTTAAATATTTACTTATCAGGTTTTTTTTAAAGCAAGAGAAGTATTTTCCCTCTTGTGTAAATGAGGGGTTGGTGACATCATAGCTCCCTTTTTCCCTTTTAAGAGAGGACAGCATTAGACAGCCGGATACCAATAAAATTGCCTTCACTGGAAGACCTTCTCATAGCTGCTCTGCTCAAGTCTTCATCTTCACACAACCTTGACATGGCCTAGGAAAGTCAATTGATAGAATAAAGGAACAGTTTTCTTAAAATCTTAAAGAGAAAGTATCACTGATGTTCAGTCATGCTGCGCCCTCGGCTGGCTACTTCAGGGTGACTACTGCTTTGGCTGGCTGTGGCCTGCACTGCGATGCTACTTCCTGCCAATTCACTAACATCCTTTAAGGTCGATGATTAGATTACCAGGAAAAGGAAACTCAAGTTTTAAAAACTTTTGTGATGTTTTTAAAAAGTTTTGTGATGACAGCAGCAGCAACATCTGTTATCTGTGCAACTGTTCATTAAAAATGGTAAATCTACATGTGTGTGAAATATCAGTAAACACTGTGTCAGCTGTCTCAACTCCACCTGATCTTCATTACTTATCACAAACATTAAGCCACACTCACAGAGGCGTGGAGGGGCTGATACTCTACTGCAGGTCAGGACAGGCCTAATGACTGAAATATCAAAAGGTGCTCCTTCAGGGCTGGAGATTTAGCTCAGCAGCATAAGTGCCTGCTTTGCAAGCAGGTGGTCATGAGTTTGATCCCCGATATTGATAAAAAAGAAAAAGGCAAAAAAAAAAAAAAAAAAAAAAAGGTGCTCCTTCAAATGCTCATAAATTATGGGAGAAAAACATTATTCCAAAACACTACTGAATCCCCATAGAAAGTGCCATTTGAACATCAGCATCCATTTCAAGTGTGAATTATTTTGGTGTATGCTCACCACAAGTCAGGAGCATGTTATTTTATTTTGCCTCATGTGAACTACAGCTTCCATTTAGAACCTAAGTCTTTCCAACTGCCAGTACCTGACACACACACAGCACCATCACACACCCTCAGCATAGGACTCTCACATTGGACACTAAGGATCTCTCTAGTGAACTCTTGGGTTTGTACTGTGATAGCTGCATGCTGACATGAATTTGAAAACTGAGTAAAAGGTAGTGAAGAATAGTTAAGGGAACACTGCATTTGTAGACATAAGGAATACAACCTCAAAGGATTAGTCGTGAATTGCTATGGAGAAAGGTAGAGGTTCAAAAGAAAAGGTATTATGACCAGATGAATTTTCATTAAGATCTCCAGTGGGCTTCCTATGAAATCTGTATTTCTTTAAATTGTTTTTTAACTGCTATGTTCTGTTTTGATATGTTTAATCTTACCCTCTTTGAGAAGTAAAACAAATGTGTAGGACTGATAACCATGTTACTGAGCTCTTGTTCGATCATAGAGCAGAAGGGTTTGTAGTGTCACTTTATGAATGTCATTCTAAATGCTTTAATTCCATAACATGAACAGCTACTTCTAAGATGACAATGTGTAACTTATCAACCAGCAATTTCTTACCGTTTGTTTTTCTGTAAGTTTGTATCATTTCTACCCTTTTTTAAAATCTCCATGTATTCTTTTGTTTCCTTTTCTTTAAATAAAAAATTTTAAAAAAATAGTATGAGGTTCAGTTAAAGGAGAGGTAGTATCTACTTTTTAAAAATAATGCACATCTTTATAATAAACCAAAAAAGAACTGAGAAATGTGACTGACTCCAAAGGACTGGTAAGCTCCTCGATGTGTTAATCTGAATACTTTCCATTTCCCTAAACACTACTTAATAAGATTCAGTCACAGATGCTGGCTTGGGTAACTCACAGAAACCCCCCTTGGTAAAAGCATAGCCTTACCTCGAGGTTCTGTGCTCTTTCTTTGGTGAGAGGTGCGAACACAAAACACACATCATTGTCATCTGCTAAAGAGCGAAGGTCAAAGTAGTATTTAGCATAAACACTGGAAGACACATTAACATTGAATTCAAGCAGGTCCAAGTAATGCCTTTCCAACTCATTCCTGGGGAAGAAGAACACAGAAAACTCAACCAAACAGTCAAATGGGTTATCTTCAAAATTTTGATTTTAATTTTCTAGGATTACTATAAATTCTGAGACCTATGAAGCTACCCAACAGGAAGAAGACACTCATGTTCCAACATGGTACAGCTACATTCAGTCCTTTCTGGAACCCAATAAAGTCGGAATCCTGACTCAACAGCAGCCATTTTGTTCAGTAAAGCTGTAGCCATTTTGTTCCCTGCCACTGAACTCAGCTAAATCATATGATTTGTCATCAAACTGAAACTTCTGTGAATGTGCTAAAAACAACTTTACTTCATACAACTATGCTCATTACAAGATGCCCACTGTACCATGATCTTCAGCCAAAGCTTATCTAGTTTTTGTAGCTTCTGTTTGCCACCCTATAAGAACGACAAACTCTCTGTAATCTGTACCTCAGACTTTTGAGCCTACTCTGCTGGAGTCTACCAGTGTTAATAAAAATTTCTTTTCTTCTCCTGAGCTGCTGGCTACTACTGCTGACTTAATTTTCCTGCAATACCAGCACTGCTGCATTTCAGGGGAGGACAGCGCTTATGGCCTGTTGCTGGTTCATGGTTCTTTCTTCAGAGTTCATCAGTGCATCTGTGTGACTCATGCTCCACATATATTCACCAGGCCTCACTACAGTGAGCAGATAAAAATTTAATGTATGCTGATGTTAGCTCTCAAAAACTCTCATACATCTTCAGTAGCTTGTAAGAGCAAGGGTTACCAAATTAGAGAGTCGCCAACAGAAGATTCACCACTGTTCTCATCCTGAGGAAGAAAATTCTTCAGGCAACAAGGACTCCAGAGACAGGGAGAGAGAGAGAGAGAGAGAGAGAGAGAGAGAGAGAGAGAGAGAGAGAGGGAGGGGGAGAGAGAGAGAGAGAGAGGGAGGGGGAGAGAGAGAGAGAGAGAGAGAGAGAGAGAGAGAGAGAGAGAGAGAGAGAGAGAGAATCTGCACTGGATAGGAAACCTCCCCCCATCCCAGCTACGTCAAAGAGCACCTTAGTAGACTAAGGTGACAAACTGTGACCATGACAATCAAGATATTTATTTTAAACTTTGGAGGACAAAGATCAAAGGCAGGAGTTTTGGCTAGACTAAATCCAATTTAGTGTTTGGCTTTTGGTCCACAGAGATGTGACCTCTGGCAGAGAACTGGACACACATACTCTTGTTTCTGTGCTTGGAAACCCCAAGATGATCAGTACCTGCTGCCCCTCACCAGAGAGAATGCACACACACACACACACACACACACACACACACACACACGGGCCAGTTCAGTACAGTAGAAATAGAAATGACTGGGAACAGTCTGCTGCTATATAACTATGCAGCTGCCTATTCACACTCAATATGCATAAAATCAGACCCATTTCTATATACATGCAACTCTCCTAATCCAGCAGAGGCAGGCACAGGCATCTGGAACCTTTCTTGCTGAATGTTCTGGTTATTCTAACAACAGATGTTCAGATAAAAATGCAAAGAAAAACCAGGAAAAGCAAACATATGTGACTAAGGCTGAAGCCATAACTTAGTAAACACACCACTGTCCCAGAAACTTTAACACTGGCCATTTATTTCAAAAGCCAAACACACAATCCTTAGAAAAGTGGCTGAAACTTGTAGGTACTGGAAAGCCATAAAGATATGTACTGTAGTATATGTTTCTGGTGCTAAGCCGATAAAATGTTTGGCAAAAACCAGAACATACTTCAATTCATCAAGTGTATCATTACAATAATAATCCATCAAAATCTACCAATTTTTGATAGATGATATGAATTTTTATATGATAGCTGGAGAAAAATAGTTTCCATTTTGAGTTATGTCCTATTTAAAAGCATTTCTTAAAATTCATATGTTATGAGATTAAATGAACTGGAAAATGACTAGAAAATTTACCAAAACCTTTCATACTCACATGTCCTCAAGTGTAATATTCTTGAGGATCTGGCAGAAATCGATATTCCATATAGCGTCATCATGCCAAGCCTTGCAGGCGAGAAGAATGGCTCCCAAAACAATCCTCTTCCAGTTAGTAGGACAGATGTCCATCTCAGTATAAGATAAGAGCCTTTCCAAATAAACCTACAAAGAGCAGAGCACTGTTCTGTGATTTTAACTCTGAATGCTGTGTTAAGAATTTAATTCTTGTGAATGACAGTTCTGACCAGAAAGGGAAGGCCCTTTTATTTTTGAGTGCTACAGACATTTTTCTGAACTAAGGCAAGATGTCAGGTCACAGTTGGCAATCAGATATCTCTGCTGCCCATGTAAATTTCCTGTTCAATTCTGGTGATGGGAATGACTGACATCTCAGCAAAGGTCATCCAGAAGAGAGGCAAGACTATCATGTCACACTTATGAAGTACCCAGATGTAGGCCTGCTGTAAAGCTGTTCAATAAATACGGAGGGTCTCTAACATGCAATGTGGTATATCCAGCTGGCAGCTTTAGAATGGATTTAGATATTATTGAAATCCCTATATTACATAGTGTAACCCAAATACTATGTATTGTAATCCAAACATTGTAACCCTTTTTTTCAGTTCACCTCATAATCCAGAAAGTTATATTTGTAACTCCATAGAAATGTTATTCAAATTCCAGCACGTTAACTTTAATCTATCACCTCCCATGTAACCCACAGCGACAGTAAAGACACTGAGACATATTCAAAGTTATGGGCAGCCAAGTGACCCTAAGTCCATTCAAGTGAGGATATATGACAAAGGCCTTGATCCAAAGCCTCTCCCAGAATTTATTATCTCGTGAAGAAAGGAGAGGTTTGAGGATGAGGGACAGGGAGGATAGCAGGAACTATGTGAGTAACTTGAGCTTGCTGGGCAGGTGGGGAAAAAGCATCTTTCTGCAATATGCAGGGAGAATAAGAGGAATCAGTCTGCATAACTCAATTGTGGTAGCATTTCATTTGTTATAGGAGGCTGTTGCTTTAGTTTCTGATATGTAAACTTTTGTGCCCTGGGGAGTCATAGCCACTTACTTTGAGGCTGGTACCCAGCTGACATTGCTGGAGCTAACTGGCTTTGCCATCTCACTGGGGTTTCACCATTCTAACAGGGAACACAATGTAAGGAAACAGGAAATTGTCAGCTTGGCCTCAAGGATTCAGTGTTAGTACCTCGGCTAGCCTTATTTGCATTGCTTACATACAATAAAGGATGCGGAGTGGGATGGGTGAAAAACCACCATAGCCAACTCTATACATATCAATGAATGGAAACAGGATTCCATGTAACTAATGCTGAAGCAGCTGTTCTGCATTCAAGGGGAGCCACCCTAAGTGTCTCCTACAGGATATGTCATGGTCAAACATAACACGCAACTCATAGAACACTTTGATCTTCTTTGCTCAATATTAACGCTTTTAAAGCACAAGCTGGGCTGCTGCATCTAAATCAGCACAGCAGGGAGAGAGACGCGTGAAAGCTCTGAGAGTGAGAATCAGCAAATGGAGTTGAGGGTGGGATTGGCAGGGAGCCCTGCATTGACCTGCAGTGACTGAGAGGAATGGGGACCCTTCAATAGACTAGGAAGCTCCAACAGAGGACATTCTGGAACCAGGCAGACTAGCGGGAACAGGACGCTGCAGTGACTTTAGTTGCATAGTCCCCTCTCAAGCAGGATTGGTGAGGAGCGCTTGCCTGGGTGACGCCACAAACTAAGACCCAGTAGACTAGCCCAAACCAGGTCCCAGCACCTGGTGGTGCACTCTAGCAGTGAAGCCTTCAGTAGATTGACCTGGAAGGGCAGGCCCAGCAGAGGCTGCCCAGGTCTGTGTCTCCATAGTACACTGCAGTGGACGGGAACACCTAGCTGGCACAATTCAAACAAACTGTAACCAACAAAGAAAGAAACTGGGCCTCCTATATATGCTTGTATGGAAGGAACAAAAAGTATGGGAAGAGGGAGCAACAAGAAAGGGTCCTCAGTCCCCAATCCTGAGAACACTGATCCAGGAAAGGTAAATGCAAAAGAGAATGAGGACAGAAAACATGCAATATCAGGCACTGCACCAATAGACATAAAGCGCTATCTCTAGGACCTCATAGACGAGTTCAAAAGTGATGTATTTAATGAAGTAAAGCAATATATAAGTAGAATAGTTAGAGAAATGCTAAGCACTGCCCAAGAAAAAACAGATGGTAGAATGGAAGAACAGAAAGAAAGGGGAGAATTGATTGATGGAGAAAATAGAGAACACACAGAATACGTGAAGCAGGTTCAAAGAGATTACCAGGAAACTAAAAACTCTATTGAAAGCTGGCATAACAGCTTGAAAGAAACTAAGGATAGCTTATCTGGAGGACAGATTTGTAATGTGGGAGCATGAAATGAAAAACTTCTTAAAAATAACAAGGAAACAAACAGCAATAATACAAAGGCTAGAAGATGATAACGGGATATATAACAAGAATTAAGAACATAAAAGAAGAAGTAGGGATACAAACAAATGAACTACAAAAGCTATTCACAGAAATAATCCAAAAGAATTTCCCTAATTTAGCAAATGGTAAAGATATTCAGATGTATGAGGCATACAGGACCCCAGCCACCTACAACCCAAACAGAGCTACACTCAGCATATAATAATCAAAATTCCAGAAATCCATTATAAGAGCAGAATATTAAAAGCTGCCAGAGACAAGAAACAGATTACTTACAAGGGAACACCCATCAGAATTACAGCAGACTTCTCGGCACAAACCATCAAATCATGAAGAGCGTGGGGGGAAATAATTCAAGCTTTGAAAGATAATAATCTCCAGCCAAGATTGATATATCCTGCACAACTGTCCCTAGAAATTGATGGAAAAACAAGATGCTTCCAGGATAAAGAGGAACTAGGGGAATTTGCAACCATCAATTCAACTCTACAGAGAATACTGCAGGATATTCTAAAAAAGAAAAATACCAATATTCCAGAAACAGTGGCAGAGAGGCCACAATGAATGGAGCAGAAAGCAAAATGAAGAAGACAGACAACTAATGACAGAAAAAGAGCTCAACAGAAATGAGGCAGAGAAGGTTGGATGGTAGGAACAGCTATTCTGGAGAAAACAAGATATCATAATAGCTAGTGCTGATTTAATATCATCTTGTTTTGAAGTCCCATCAAGCTTTTGTTGTTCTGTCTCCATCAGTCTTAAAAGGTATCTTATCGGATTTTTTATATGTGTAATATAAACAAAAACTTTTATAGACAAGGAGATTATACAGAAACCATTGTTCATTTTCTGTTAGTTGATTCTAAATACCCTGTAATACTGTCATTCTCTTGAATGGTTTTACATTGTCTTGATATGTTTGATGATACAGTATACAAAGTTATACTCAGAGATTTCAAGGAAAGAGACACTATGGTAACTCCTTTTATGTCAGGATATCTTGTGGTGAAACACTATTTTGCTTAAATGGTTATGTTTTGACCTGTGCTGTTTTGTTGTTATGCCCTCTTTTATCTCAATCTCCTTTTTTATCTACTTTTTTATTTTTATCTTTTTAATTAAGGGAAAAATAAATTAAAAATAGCAGGATACATTATAGTAACCCACTTTGATTTCCTATTAACTTGATTTGAAATCCTGTATTGCCCTCAACATCTTATTTTGACTGATTTTCCCCTATTCTGCTTTGCTTGATAGTACCAAGTTCAAAAGTATAGGCAACAACTGTGAAGACAATAAGATTCATTATGACGCCCATTCCTGTTGACTATTATCTTCTTTTGAAGTCCTGTAATGTCTCCAATGTTTTGGTTTTATTGGTTTTGTTCTTTACTGTTTTGTTCAATTTTATTATAACCTATGATATAGGCAATTCTTTTTAAGATAGCAAGAGGCATTATGGTAACCTTTGTTGATCACCTTGTATTTTGTTTTTAAATTATGTATTATGTCCATCCTTTTGATTTGACTGACTCTGTTCTGTTATGTCACATCTGGTTTTACTCTCTTCAAAAAAAAGTAATAAGAACTGTGGGAGTAATAAAACCCAACATGTGTAATTGTCATTGTACAAAAGACAGGAAAAGAAAGTGCTCTAAACAATATATCTGCATGTATATTTAAGTGTATAAGATAGATAACCATATTACTGAGTTTTTTTTGATCATTGAACAGAACTGTTTGCAGTCTTTTGAATGTCCACTTCATATGCTTTAATAACTTGAACAACTGTTTCTAAGATGACAATATGTAATCTATTAACTAGTGATTTTCTACTGTTTATTTTTTCTGAAATTCTGTATAACTTGTACCCTTTTTCTATTTTTTTTTTCTTTTTCTCCTTAAGTAAAATAAAAAAAAAAAAGCACAAGCTGGAGAACTGGTGGACAAGACAGTCTCCTAGTGGCTGCTGAGCAGAGTAGTATGACAGGCACAGTGCTTTACAGTTGTACAGTTTTCCCCAAACTCAGTGTCCTTATAAGGAACCCACACGTACAACAGGATGGTCCTTCTTCTAGCAACTGTTGTTCCCACTCTTTGGGAAAATCAATGGTCTCTCTTGACATTACTTGCAACTTAGTTCATTTTGTTGGTAGGAAGAACAGAACTGCTAATCTGTATCCCCGGGATGCCTAAATGTCCAGGCCCTTGGTGAGACAATCTAATTATTCTTACATCAAACATCTATTCTACAAAGAACAGGGTGAAGCTAATAGGTGAGTTAAGATTACAGAAGAAGCTGTGATTTGTTGTTACTTAAAAGAGTGCCCTGTAGAGTAATAAACAGTTATCCCTTTCAGTGAAAGCTTGGCTCCTGGGCCAAAGCTGACACTAAAGTCTGCAGATGCTCAAGTCCATCATATAATATAGTACAGTATTTGCACATAACTTAGGTACATCTTCCCATATACTTTAAATCATTTATAGATTACCTGCAATACAAAACTCAATGCAAATACCATGTATTTATACTATATTGGTAAGCATTATGGACAAGGAAAAATACACTTCTTCACAAAATAATTTCAATCCACTGTTGATAGAAATTATAAACACAGAACTCATAGACACAGAGGGGAGACTGTTTATGCTGTTTGAACTCTTTGTATCAAGACAGAAAAAAGGGGCACTTTTAAGAGAGAGTTGTCAGATCAGCAGTTCATATTGGGTAATGTTTCCAAGTACAACTTTTTTCATTTCCAAAAACCTTCCTCCTTAAAAATCTTTTCTCATAGACCAACTACTTTCTGTATAGACTTATTTGATGGCAGTGAACCAATACTAGTAATCCATCAACCTGTGTTATGGCTTGTGTTTAGATATCCCCCCACCAAAGCCTCATACAGTCATAGGTGGGGTTTTTCAGTGGTGACTGGATCTAGTATGTGAAGCTAGAATTGATTCATGGTGCAATGCTAGGATCAAGTGCACTAGAATTAAGGGTAGAAGTGCTACCCACTCTAAGTAGCCTGGATAAGATACAAGGGATAGAAGGAACTGTGGCTGTCCTTTGTTTTGCAACCTCCTGTCCACAGCCATGAACTGTGACTCCTCTGTGATACTCCTCTGCCGTGCCTTCCAGCCTTGAAGCCAGCTAATTATGGACTGAAGCTTCTACATACTGTGATCGAAATAAACCTTTTCTTTTTTAACTTTAGGCATTGGGTATTTTGTCTCAGCAATGAGAAAAATAACTAAGGCAGAATTTCAGACCAGAGAAATGGGACTGTTGCTATGATATTACACATCTCTGTGGTTCACAGGAAGAAATTAGAAAGGTTCAGAGAAGCTGGATAAAAAGTAGAGCTAAAAGGCCAGGGATTTAGCTCAGCAGCACAAGTGCCTGCTTGGCAAGCATGAAGTTGTGAGTTCTATCCCTGGTACCAAAAATCAAACAAACACAAAAAAAGTAAAGCTGGAACACCTTGTACTGTACTTAATGGAAGAATGTGGGCAGAGCTCAGAAGACCAGAAATGTGTTAGAAATCCTGCTGATGGAGAGGTTTCTGCTAGGAATAAGGACTGCATTGGCTGTGGGACTCCAGATGATGGGTGTTATATACTTGGCAGAAATTTTTTTATTTTCCTCATGTTTAGAAACTTTGCCTCAGACAGAAATTAAGGGCATTGGGCTAACTGATCTGGCAGAAGACATTTCAAGGCAGTCTAATGTTGAGATGGTGGTATGGTTACTATAAGGGGCTTTCAGAGTTTCATGTTGAGAATCAGGAGCAAAGAGCCCAACAGAATGATTTAAAACATTTTGAGTTCATACAGAAAGTGAGCTCCAGTAAAGCTGTGGACTGCAAAAATAGAGCAGAGGAGATCTTGACTGCTGAGAAGGGATCAAGAGAATAGAAAAGATGGCCTGAGGGCATCACAAGAAGCTAAGGACTTTACCCTACGCAACTTCAAAACTGCAAAAGAAAAGACTTTGCCTTGAGAAGAGAGCCCCACTGCACCATGTTCTTCCCACCCCACAGCATGTATAAGTGTTAAGTGTGTGTGTGTGTGTGTGTGTGTGTGTGTGTGTATGTGTGTGTGTATACTAAAGTGTGGGGGGAAATGTATTATGCCTTGAGTTACCACTGTTTTGTGATAAGAAAACAGAAGTGTGATGTGTTTGATTTTAATATTTATTCTTCTTTGACAGGCTTCTCTTAATAAAGGTCTCATGATAATTTTAAGAATCTCATTTAATTTGGAAAAAAAACCACCTTACTCTGTTTCAACATCAATTTCTAAGCAAGCGTAATAAATAAGAAACATCTTACCAAAGTTATTATTGCACATTCAACTGGTAACCATGCAGCATTAAAAATAGTAGCAACAAATCTATAAATACATTTGTGTTCAGGATCATGGTCAAAATATTCCTGGGGAATCCTCTCTTGCTGAAAGGAGAAAAGATGCAATGTAAGTATCTACTGAAGAAAACTTTTAAGTACTCTAATACAGCAGTCTTCACCTTGGGCTCACATGTTCCTGGAAATAATTTCAATTGTGTGGTATATCTTTTAATTTACCTTATTTTTGGTTAAATTTATTGATACATTTTAGATATACATAATGATAGCATTCATCATTGGGAATTTGTACCTATACATGATATATCTTGATTTTCTTCCCATTACCCTACCCTCTGTTCCAGCCTCTTCCACTTCTTATTCACAAAAGCTTTGTTTCCATTTTTCTCGTTTCATTTTTCTTCCTTCCTTTCCTTCTCCCCTCTTCCTAGTTCCCCTTCCCATTTGAGTATTTTCTTCCTATTTCACATTATCTATTATACATTTTTTGTCCTTATTTATATTTTTGGTTCCTCACACCAGGGAAAGAATGGAGTATTTACCATGTGTGTAAATAACAATTATGGTCTTTAGGTGTAATCATTTACCTAGAAATTTCTTGTTTATCTTTTTTTTAATAACTGAGTTCTCTATTATATAAAAATCCCCCACATCTTTCTTATCTGTTTGTTGATGGATGGGCATCTTAGCTGTTTCTAAGATTTAGCTATTACAAACTGTGCTGCTACAAACATGGGTGTGCATGTATCACTGTGGCATGATGCTTTTAGCTCTTTTGAGAAGATGCTGAGAAAAGGAACAGCTGGGTGGAATGGAATCTCTAGTTTTAGTTTTTTCAAGAGCATCTCAACACTGATTTCCAGAGTAGTTTCACCAGTCTATGTGTGATGCATTTTTTTAGCTTTCAACTAGAAACATTGGGATCTTTTACTACCCATAATGACACTTAGGTCAGTGATGACCACATATACAACAGTGGCCTCTAAGTGCACATGGACACCTTCATTATGTAAGTTCACACTGAGGTTTGCACAAGGATGGAATCACTTATCAACACATCTCTCAGAATGTACTCTACTGGTAAGCAACACAGAAGTACTCAAGTTCAGATAATTGATATTCTTTTCACTTTGCCTCCACAGAGTTCTCAAATTCATTTTTAGCCTAAAAGCTTTAAGCATCTGTTGTGTTTTTCTGTAATAAACTCTAGGAAACATATTTAGTGTCCTGCAGCCACAGCCTCCAGGGATGCGCTATCCCACAGGAAAGTCAGCAGTTACTTGACTCTTGGACATGCAGAAGTCCTGATATTCCTGAGGAAGTGACTTTACACTTTTATGTCATTTTAACTGATTTAAGTTTCCTAGTTATTTTCCTAGAGATATGACAAGTTTTGGGGTTTTATTTACAAGTATTTATATTGTTGGATGCTACTAAAAATCATCTTTCAAAAAGCTACATTTTCTGTTATTTGGATACCACATTTATTCAGCTTAGTTCAGCAACAAAGCTGCAAGTCCATTCTTACTCTATCATGACCCTAAAAAACCCTCCTTTTCTATGAAGATTCAATAAAACATCATGGGAATGCAGGTAATTCAAATTCAAATGGATTTACTACTGGCGACTAATGTCAAACGAAAATAGCATGAAAGAAGCACAATTCCATGAAAGAAAAAAAGGACCCTTACTGTGAGTGGATGCAGTCTCTCATCAAAAATATCCAGGGATCTATTTGCATCTCTAAAAAGAAGAATGCACATTTAAATTTTTTTTTTTTTTAGAAATTTCTTACCTCTTAGTAAAATATCTTGTAGTGGCAGAGGAAGATGGAAGGAGAGACCTAACCTTCAACACATCAGAAAATTTTACAAATTCTCCTGGATTTTGAGCTTTTAAGCCTTTTTACTCAGCATGTCAAGCACTGTGAAGCCTTTTCTAAGAGGACCAGTTAAAAGTAACTATAAGTAATGACTCTTCCAGACAGGCAATGCTAACAAACCAATAGATTTTCACTTACACTTTCATCATGTATTTCTTGTTTATGTTGGTTATAAATTTAGTTGCCTCTTTGTAAGAGACCAGTCTCTTATAAGAGACTAATACATTCTGCTGCCATTAAAGTGGTCTGTGGACCTCTGAGGATTCAGCAGGCTCTTTTGCAGGAGGCTCAGGAGATCAAACTGTTCTCACAAATACATGAAGACATTACTTGCTTTTTTACTGTTAGACCATTGTAATGTACTTGTAATGCTTCTATAACAGTCAGTAAGACTGCTGATTTCTCACCGCATGAATCAGGTGGTACCAACTTAAAAGAGCAGTCATTCTATTTTTCACTTTCACTTGCAGCTTTTTAAAAAGCCTGTTTTGGTTAAGCTTGTTCTTGATGGAGCAGTGAGGATTAATGTTAATAAATGCTGGCCCACATTAAATGCTGAAAGTGAAAAGTTCACACAAAGCATTTCTGCATAGTAAAGTATACTTGTGTTCAGAAAAAGCACTTGTAATTTAGTTGCAAGCTGAACAGGCTACTTATCATAGATACCACTTTTATATGAAACTATAAATATCACAAATACACAAAGTGAACCTACAAGGAACATGAACAAGTATTTGTTGTCAATGACAAAATTAAAGTTTTGAAAAGTGTATACCTTCTGCTCTGCATGTGACAGCTTCTCATTATTTGAAGACGTTTTGTTAAGACTGGTGATGATACTAACACAAGTGTTTAGAATGTTATAAAGAAACATGAACCCATACTCCCAAACTAACCACTGCATATTATAAATCGTGTACTGATAAAAAGAACTGCTCACTATGCAAGATACAAGAATGAGTATTAATGCAATAGTTTGAGATACCATGCAAAATCCAATTGTACCTAATTTATGAAATTAATGCTTGTGGTATTTAATGTGTTAAAGATTATCCACAATTACATGAAATCTGAAAAAATACTCTTTTGTCCAGCCATATATCTCCATTACATTAGGCTGTCCTCTTATTGTTTCTTCAAAGGTACAGTAATTGCAAAGGTATCAAGAAATGTGAGAAGAGAATCTACTTGTGTTCTATTGAGTCAAATGAAGAAACATGTAAAAATACAACTACAGACACATTTTTCACCCAATTAAAAAAGGGCACAAAAACTTAAAAGAATTGTAGAAGATAGTTACTTTTCTGGTATTTATACTAACAGAATAGTTCATAAGCAGGAGTGATCTTGCATAACAGTAGACATTTTTGGTGCTAATGTCATCTACTAGGCAAAGAACAGTGATCCTGTTAAACATGCCACCCTGGATAGGACAACCCACAACAAAGAATTGCGTAGCTCAAAATATAAAGTTTTAAGATTGAGAAACCCGGTATCAACACTTCCCTAGGCACTTGCACATATGTGCACACACAAACACCTACACACATTAAATTCTCAATTTTAATTTATATATATATACATATATATATATATATATGCACATACATACATATATATAATTTTGGGGGGCACTGGGAATTAAACTCAAGACCTTGCACTTGCCAAGCAGGCGCTTAGGCCGCTCAGCCATATCCCCAACCCAATTTTAATAAATATCAATATAAATGACAGAAACAAATATTCTTTGAGGTCTTGAAAATCCAGAGAATATTTTTCAACTGTTCTAAGTACAACAAGAACTCCAAATAATTTGCTTCTGTATTTTACTAAAACTACAACTTATATCTATAGTCATGACTTAATACTATACTTAGAATCACACAATTTAATTGGAATAATAAGACACGATTTTAAAAGCTCACCTGGCCAGGTGTGGTGGTGCATGCCTGTAATCCCAGCACTCAAAAGGCCGAGATAGGAGGTTCACCTTGAGTTTGAGGCCAGCATGGGCTACAAAGTGAGTTCAAGACCAGCCTGAACTACACATTGAAACCCTGTCTCAAAAAGACAAGGGGGAAAAAAAGCTCACCTGTACTTTATGTGGTAATATATTGCTAAGGTCACACTGTGGAAGGAAAAAAATTATTTGTAAGGACTAATTTTATCATTTGTAGAAACGGAAGACGGTTTTTCTGGGGGTGGGCATGGGGGTCCAGAAGCCTTAGAGTACTACAGTTTGAGAACACCACCACATGAGCACTTTCCATTATTTTAGTGTTTTGGTTTGTAGCAAACTGTGCTGTTACAAAACCTTTCTCTTGATTATTGCCTATTCCCATCACTCACTCGGTTTTACCCATAAAACCTTACACCCTGGGAAAGTTCTACATATATGTCTACAAGCTTAAAATTTAAATCACGGTATAGTTTTAAAAGTTGAAAGGCCACACATTTGTTGCAGTTTATTTACTTCATTATTCGCTTGCTGATTGGTTTTTTTCATTATTTCTCTACAATTAAATAATAAAAATGCTCTATACCAAACAAAAGTATATCACTTTTCCAAGATTAAAAACTCGTAAATATATGCGGCCATGAATCTAATGATACTTATAGCCATCCTGAAATATTCAGTGATGGTAATGAAACAAGCACACTTCTACATAGTATATTCATGGCCAGAATTTCCAAATTAAATATTAATAAGCAGGCACAACTCTTCAGATAATACATCTACACAGTTTCTAAACTATGTAGATGTGCTGCATATTAGGGAGCAAAGGGGTTCCCTTAGGTGAGTTTTATGCTTCTGATTGCCCTGACTGTCTAAAGTGATGCTTAACACCATCAAGGGAAGACAAATCTGAATTTTCAAAGAAGTCTAGATCTTATTTTAAATTTGAGATAGTTTAACCTTATAGGTATCAACCACAAACATTTCTATAGTGTTTCAAACAGTTTTTAACATCCAAATGGAGTTTAATCACAGGCTGATATCATACATTGAAAAAGTACACCGAATCTTATTTGAAATTTCATTTAACAACCCATTATTACAGATAAGGGAACCAAGATTTGCCCACATCCCCACCAAACAGAAGCAGTTCATCTCCCATATTCTTATTAAGCAGTGATTCCCAAATTTTCCTGCACATTGGAATCACCCTAGGAGCCTAAAATGATCCTGAAGTCTACCTCAAGACATTCTCATTAAGTGGCACAGGGTACACTTTGGTACAAAGAGCATTTTAAAAGTTCCTCTAGGTTATTACAGTGTGCACCAAAGATTGCGAATGACTTAACAGGGTCAAGTCTGCGAATGCTTCTGTCTATATAATTACACCACCTCACCTTCATCCCTGATTACCTAATATGCTCATGAGCACCTACAGAGGAGGAGAAACGGGGCTGGGGAAAATGTATGTGTTTGCATAAGTGATTCTAATAAGATTTACACATCTGAGAATAATGCAGTATCACCCCATGATAAACATTTAAAAAAATCTTTCCTAAATGCTACTTGTCCTATTATTACTAAACTTTTATTTGAAAAATAGTGCATGATTATTTTAAAACATGGAATGAAATCCAACTACAACTTACTGCACATTGAAAAGCAAAATTCTAAAATTTAGACTAAATTGGGGAGGAAAACAAACATGAAATCTATTTGTTTGAGGAAGGTCACTTTTTAAAACTATAAACCTAATTATACATGGAAACATCACAATGTTCTTAACTCAAAAGACAAGAAGCTGGCACTCTTAAAGGTTTTTACTCATAAAGTTAGGGCCTCGCCTGAATACAAACATTCAGTAATTACTTGATGGATACTGAATTTAAAAATGTCAGACATAGTGCTCAGTTTTTGTCAAAACAAAATTTTATCTCAACTTCAATTTTGTGAGAGAAGAGTTACATTACCATGAATGTAACCTTTTTTGTGGTTTTTAATAGAAGTAGAAGTTACTGGTAATGAAGTAAAAATGAAAAGCTGACGTATTAGAAATAAAATTACATTTATATGCTATTTGCATTCTTCCATGGCTAAAGGCATTAGTATTCTAATGAAATATAAACTACCTCCTGAAAATCAAAACTCATAACCCAAGGTGTCATTAACAATGTTCCCTGAAGGTCCTAAGAGAGTGGGTAAGCTCTGCACCTGATGTCTGTTGCTGGCATTTTAACAAGCTTCAAAGATTCTTGTCAGGGGATTCTCCTAAGCTTCTCTGATTGTGACCCCTAAGGTTCTCCATCACAGATGATGGAGAATATTCAAATGCTGAAGCACTGTGTGGCCAATAGAGAAAATGCTGCTCCTTCCAAGAGTAATTTCTAAAGTAATGAACGCTGTTTTAGGGCCCTGGTTCACACAGAACCAAAAGTATCTCTTCTTGTTAGTTTTAACAGTATCTTAAAACATAAATGCATGAAATACAGAGCTACCCTTGTCCTGGGTTCCTCATTTGCTAAGTGCTATTCCTGCCATCTGAGAGGAAAATAAAAATTGAAGATTAACATTTTCGAATCAATTATACAGTTTGCCCCAAGGTCGTAAGCTAAACAAGGAGAAGGATAAGCAGAAAATACCAAGCATGGCTGCAGAGTTTCATAAGTAGTGAGTCTGTCACTCCGGCCTCTGCAACACCCCCATACTCACCACTGCACCGTGTTTCTCCGATTTGGCTGGCTGAGCGTGCTGTCATCTAGAAATATCGTTGAGCATGAGCTGTACTTTCTAGTAAGCTGCCCTGGAAATACCTGAAAGGAGAAGAAAATGTCGTAGGAAGTTACACCCATAACGCTGGACGTCTTCCCTTAAAATATCAAATAGGAAAGCATTAAGGTATTTCTAAAGCTTCCAGACTCTTTGAGAAGAGTCTTTTGAGTGTGGCCACACAGAAAACCCACTGTAGGAGGCTGCTGAGTTCCAGCAATGTTTGAGGGCTGGGTTATAAAATACTGCCCTTGTTATGGTACCCGATTATCAAACCTGACCAGCATTTACCGTGAATCCCTGTATAAATATTACAAAAAGGATAAAGTAAGATTTTAGGGATTTCTCTTAAGCAATTAAAAAGTTGAGATTTTGTTTCTACTATTCAAATAAAAAGCAATTCCTTAAATAATACTGGCACAATATTAGCAATTTACTACAGCAAAAAGTCCAATATATAACTGATTAATTAACTAGTATTTAATGTGTTAGTGTGATGAAATAAATGTCTCAAAGTCCAAGGACTAACTCAGACACTAACAAGCCAGGGTCATACGTCTCTGGGCCTGTTCCCTTACAAAGAGTGCAGAATCATTATTTTAAGAGTTTGAGTTCTTTGTATTTTCTCAAATAGTAATTCTTTGCTGAGGAATAGCTGGCAAACATTTTTTCCCACGTTGTGGGCTGTCTCTTCACTCTGTTGGTGATTTCTCTTAACGTGTAAAAGCTTTTCAGTAGTATCCCAAGCATATTATCAGACCATAGTGCAATGAAATTAAAAATCAATGATGAAGAAACAAAAAAAAAATCCATAAACTTGAAATTAAATAACACACTCCTGAATAACCAGTGGATCACAGATGAAATTAAAGAAGAAATTAGCTTTCTATAATTAGACAATAATTATCAACACATCATACTGGAATGCAATGTATATGGGATACAAAGTAAATTCAAAGCTGTGAATAGAAGAACAGAGTGAATTGAAATAAGCTAAACCTGAATCTAAGCTTCTAGAAAAAAACATATAAGTTAAGCCCAAACCTTGTAGAGGGGAGAAATTTCTAAAGATTAGAACAGACGAGTAAAACAGTACAAAGAATCAATGAATGGAAGAGTTGATTTTTTTTTATTTAAGGAGAAAAAGAAAAAAACAGAAAAGGGGTACAAGTAATACAAAATTTTAAAAATAAACAGTAAGAAATCACTAGTTAATGGATTACATATTCTCATCTTAGAAATAGTTGTTCAAGTTACAAAATTGAAGCATATAAAGTGGACTTTCAAACAGTGAGAGTGCAAACAGTTTTGTTCAATGATCCAAAAAAACTCAGTAATATGGTTTTCTATCCTATACACTTAAACATATATGCAGTTTTAACCTTTAGAGCACTGCATTATCTTTTCTTTTGTACAATGACAATTACACATGTTGGGTTTTATTACTCCCACAGTTCTTATTACTTTTTTTGAAGAGAGTAAAACCAAATGCGACATATCAGAACAGAGTCAGTCAAATCCAAAGGATGGACATAATACATAATGTAAAAACAAAATACAAGGTGATCAACAATGGTTACCATACTGCCTCTTGCTATTTTAAGAAGAATTTCCAGTTATAATAAAATTGAACAAAACAGTAAAGAATAAAACCAAAGCATTGGAGACATTACAGGACTTTAAAAGAAGATAATAGTCAACCAGAATGGGCATCATAATGAATCTTATGGCAGTCTTCACAGTTGTTGCCTATACTTTCGAACTTGGTACTATCAAACAAAACAGAATAGGGGAAAATCAGTCAAAACAAGATGGTGAGGGCAATACAGGATTTCAAATCAAGTTAATAGGAAATCAAAGTAGATTACTATAATGTATCCTATTTTTTATTTTTCCCTTAATTAAAAAGATAAAAAGAAAAATGTAAATAATTTTTAAAAAAAGAGATTGAGATAAAAGAGGGCATAACAACAGAACAGCGCAGGTCAAAACATAACCATTTAAGCAAAATAGTGTTTCACCACAAGATATCCTGACATAAAAATAGTTACCATAGTGTCTCTTTCCTTGAAATCTTTGAGTATAACTTCATATACTGTAGCACCAAACATATCAAGACACTATAAAACCATTCAAGAGAATGACATTATTACAGGGTATTTAGAACCAATTAACAGAAAATGAACAATGGTTTCTATATAATCTCATCAATAAAAGTTTTTACTTATATTATCATATATAATAAAATCCACTAAGATACAACCTTTTAAGACCAATGGAGACAGAAGAATACAAGTTTGATGGGACTTCAAAACAAGATGATACTAAATCAGTACTAGCTATTATGATGTCTTATTTTCTCCAAAATAGCTGTTCCTACCATCTGATCTCTGCCTCATTTCTGTTGAGCTCTTTTTCTGTCATTTGTTGTCAGTTTGTCTTCTTCATTTCACTTTCTGCGTCATTCATTGTGGTCTCTCTGCCACTATTTCTGGAATCTTGGTATTTTCCTTTTTTTGAATATCTTGCTGTATTCTCTGTAGAGTTGAATTGATGGTTGCAAATTCCCCTAGTTCTTCCTTATCCTGGAAGCATCTTGTTTTTCCATCAATTTCTAGGGACAGTTGTGCAGGATATATCAGTTTTGGCTGAAAGTTATTATCTTTCAATTGAATTATTTCCCCCCATGCTCTTCATGATTTGATGGTTTGTGCCGAGAAGTCTGCTGTAATTCTGATGGGTGTTCCCTTGTAAATGATCTGTTTCTTGTCTCTGACAGCTTTTAATATTCTGTTCTTATAATGGATTTCTGGAACTTTGATTATTATATGCCTGGGTATAGCTGTTTGGGTTGTACATGGCTGGGGTCCTATATGCCTCATACATCTGAATATCTTTACCATTTGCTAAATTAGGGAAATTTTTTTGGATTATTTCTGTGAATAGCTTTTGTAGTCCATTTGTTTGTGTCTCTAATTTCTTCTTTTATGTTCTTAATTCTTAAGTTATAGATCCTCTTATCATCTTCTAGCCTTTGTATTTTTGCTGTTTGTTTTGTTTTTATTTTTAAGAAGTTTTTCATTTCATGCTCCCATATTACAAATCTGTCCTCCAATTCAGATAATCTATCTTTAGTTTCTTTCAAGCTGTTATGCCAGTTTTCGATAGAGTTTTTAGTTTCCTGGTAATCTCTTTGAACCTGCTTCACGTATTCTATGTTTTTCTCTATTTTCTCCATCAAACAATTCTCCCCTTTTTTCTGTTCTTCCATTCTACCATCTGTTTTTTCTTGGGCAGTGCTTAGCATTTCTCTAACTATCTATTTATATCTTGCTTCAGGTTGTTAATAACTTCATTCCTGAACTCGTCTATGAGGCTCTGAAGATAGCGCTTTATGTCTATTGGTGCCTTGTCTGATATTGCATGTTACTCAGGATTGGAGGCCGAGGACCCTTTCTTGTTGCTCCCTCTTCCCATATTTTTTGTTCCTTTTATACAAGTGTATATAGGAGGCCCAGTTTCTTTCTTTATCGGTTACAGTTTGTTTGAATTGCACCAGGTAGGTGTTCTGCCCACTGCAGTGTACTAGGGAGACACAGACCTGGGCAGCCTATGCTGGGCCTGCCCTTCCAGGTCAACCTACCGAAGGCTTCACTGCTAGGGTACACCTCCAGGGACTGGGACCTGGTTTGGGCTAGCCTAATGGGTCTTAGTCAGCGGGGTCATGCAGGCCAGGCACTCCCCACCGATCCTGCTTGAGAAGGGAATATGTGACTGAAGTCACTGCAGCATCCTGTCCCGGCCAGCCCACCTGGTCTCAGTATGTCCTTTGCTGAAGCCTCCTACTCTATGGAAGGGTCCCCAATCCGCTCACACACCACAGGTCGATGCAGGGCTCCCGGCCAGTCCTGCTCTCAACTCCATTCACTGCTTCCCACTCTCAAAGCCTTCATGCCTCTCTCCTTGCCATGCTGATTAGGACGCAGCAGCGGCTGTAGGAAATTCAAATCGCAGCTTCCTGTGGCACAGGGTCCAGCTTCTGTGCTGAGACCTTATCTGTTCCTGTTATGTCACCGGGATTGTGTTTCCAGTTGGTTTCTCTTAGTTTAGTTAGTTCCTGAGTCACCAAAGTATATCTCCCTTTGCTTAGGATTTGTTGCCCAGCACCATTCCTGCATTTTAAGTGTGGTTTCTCAGAGAGCCTCTGAAGGTGCTGCTATCTATCCACCATGTTCTCCCAGAAGTCAAGAGCTGATTTTTTAAAAGATTAAATTAACTGACAAACCCTTAGCTAACTTGATCAGAAAAGGGAAAGAAAAGACTCAAACCCATGCAACTAGGAATAAAGAGTAAAATCACAACTGATCCTACAGAAATCCACAAGATCATCAATATCCACTTCAAGAAATGGTATTCCAGTAGGATGGATAACTCAGAAGATAGATACACATACATTAATAAAACTAAATCAAGAAGATAAAATTCTAAATAAACCAGTATCAGTTAATGAAATTAAAGATGTAATTAAAACTCTACCAACAAAGAAAAGCCCAGTTCCTAGTGGATTCACTGTTGAATTATACAAAAAATTTAGAAAAGATCTAATGCCACTACTCCTCAAATTCTTTAATGAAATCAAAATGAAAGCAATAACTCACTTATGGAAGCAAGCATTACACTGATACCAAAACCAAAAGAGAGAATTATAGGTCAATCCCCCCAATGAACAAAGACACAAAAATCCTCAAAAGATATACTTACTAAACCCAACAGAAAAGCACATTTATAAAAGGAAATTAGCTATAATCTCAGAATGTAGTGAAAAACAATAAAAATCTGAGCATGGATAAGTTTGAAATAACTTATTAAAATTTTTAAAATTAATTTTATTTATTTATTTTTTTTGGTACTGAGGCTTGAACTCTTGACCTCATGCTTGTCAGGCAGGCACTTGTGCCACTGAGCTAAATCCCCAGGGCAATCAAATTTTTTAACTTAAGAGAACCAAATAAATCTAAAACATAGTATTTATAGGATTCAGAAAGAATATGTCTTTAACTTTATTATGAGGCAACACATACTTTCCTGTATTTGTAAATACAGTTGTGGAAAATATGCCTAACAATCCTTTTTATATACTTTATATTTAAAATTTTGAAAAGACATTGCTGCTCTAATTACTTGTGTGCTTTACGTTCTAAGCCTCAGAAGGTTTGTTTATTTAAGAACAACATAATCTGGGGCTGGGGATTTAGCTCAGCGGCATAAACGCCTGCCTTGCAAGCAGGCAGTCGTTGAGTTCGATCCCTGGTACCGATAAAAAGGAAAAAGAAAAAAAAGAACAACATAATCTCATCCGAGCAGCCTTTTGTGGTCTGGGATGACAAAAAGACTTAAAAATATGGCCTAGCATTCTTTAAGCTGTACTATTAACTCTGTAATCTAAACCCAGTTATTAATCTATATGTAAAAAGTAAGCTTTTATTTATAGACGGGGTTACTCTAAGGAAGAAAATTTAGGGTCAGGATGTATCTTTTACACTCTTCTATACTGCTTGCTTATTTATGTACTGACTTATTTCTTTGTATTTCTCATGCTAGACGACAGTCATCAGAGAACCTGTTTGGGATATAAAAGCTGGACACAGGATCACTGGACACAGGATTGCTGGCAAGTCACCTGGAATGATCAAGACATGCTGCACAGCTCCTGATCACAGGGCTGCCCTCCCTGAGGTTACTCCCACAGCACACATCATCTGCAGCAGAAACCTCGGCCTCCAGCTTTGTTCTCCCAACAACAAGCAGTAGCGACGCTGCATTATACTGAGTAATCAAAAGAAATATGCCTGAGGAAAGCACAGTGGAGGTGTACTTTTCCAGAATTATATTCTTATCTATTTTGCTTTTTATGAATATATGTGGTTATTTGTTTTGTTTTTTCTGTCTTATTTGTTCCAAAGATAATACTACCATTCTGTTTTACCTTTAGAAAAAGAAGGAAAAACAAAAACAAAACAAAATCTCAAAACCAGCAGAGCTGCTATCAGATAAGTAGATGTCAATGTACAGTTATGAGAATAAACTAAAAAATGTATTGTGTTTATTAATTCAGTCTTTTTTGAAGTACTATTTCCAAGGCACATTTTATTACATTCCTAGAATTCAACTGCAGAAATCCACAAGATCATCAATATCCACTTCAAGAAATGGTATTCCAGTAGGATGGATAATTCAGAAGATAGATACACCCATAGAAGAAGATAAATTATACCCATAGTAATAATGATATACCCATAGTAATAATGACAAGATGTTTGTTACTTTGCTTACTGTTGGGGAAAATTAAATATTCAATTCTATTAAAACAAGCTTACTTCTCAGAAAAAAATCTGAATATGAAAATAGTCTGTTGGGAAGATAAAATCGGTAAAATTCTTGAAGATACAGATATAACCAAAGACTATGAATAAAACCTCAATCACATAAGAAATATTCCAAAGAATCAAGAACTGGATCTCAAAATATTTTTAAAAAAGAAAAAAAGCTTGTGCAGAGCATAAGAAACCACCATGCACGACCCACAGAATGTGAAAAATTTCTCAGCTGCTCCTCAGACAAAGGACTAGTATGTAGAATATATGAAAAACTCCAAAAAATCAGACCCTGGAATTTAAACACCCTATCCAAAAATGGGTATCTGAAATGAATAGACGCTTCTCAAATCAAGAAACAAAAACATAAAATAAGGATTTTAAAACCATTCAGCATTACTGGTCATTTGAGAAATGCAAATTAAAATAACACTGAGATTCTACCTCATTCCAGAAAAAATGGTTAACATCAAGAAATCAACCTATAACAAATGCTGACAGGGCTGTGGGGAAAAAGGAACTCTTCTCTACTGTTGGTGGGGTGGAGTATAAACTGGTGCAACCAATATGGAAATCAGTATGCAGAGTCCTCAAAACTTTAAACTAGAGGTTCCATTTGACCCACGTTTCACCTTCTTGGTATCGTCCAGCAAGAGTGAAAAGCATCATACCACAGCAATATACAAACACTCATGTTTATAGCAGCACAATTTGTAATAGCTAAATCTTTGAAACAGCCCAGATGCCTGATGAATGGATAAAGAAAGCATGGTTTTTATATACAATTGAGTACTGCTCAGTCATAAAAAAGGATAGACGAGACACTTTTAGGTAAATGGATGTACCTTGAGACCATACTTTTAAGTGAAATAAGTTGGATGCACATGTTTAAACACTGTATTGTTTCTCTTGTATGAGAAACCAAAATCGCAAATAAGGACCAAAACGGATGATAGATACTGGGAAGCAGAAAGAAAATGTTCCAATGGGAAGGGGAATAAGGCAGGAGGGAGGGGGAAGAGAAAGAAGGGAAAGGAAAAAAGAAAAAGGAAGGAAAAAATGTATATACAACTTCTTTGAATAAGAAGGTGAAGGTTGAAGGGAGGGGAGGGAATGGGGGAAAAAGAAGGATCAAGATATATTGATATATTATGTACAAGTACAAATGCCCTACAATGAATGTGATTATTATGTACCAAAAATGTACTAATAAATTTACTTTTTAAAAAGTACTTTTATTCAAACTCAATTTCTTATCTTTCTAACTACTTACATGGTTGGAATATTTCCTCTTCTCATCATGCACTAAGAATAAAAACAAAATACTAACTGATCAATTCTGATATAAAAGAGTAAAAGTGGCTGCTAAATATCTGATGAACTACTGATAAGCAAAATGACATAAAATTCTGTTTTACTAATAAAAATAAATAAATCATCTGCCAAGATGAATTCCATAAAGTAAGAACCAAAAACTTAATTATACTTTTTTAAAAAATCTAACAGCTGAGAGCCTTTCTTTATATGAAAGAAAAGTATAAACAAGCTGGACCAAGAAAAATTTAGCTAATAAAAGAAGTTGACTTATTGCAAATCTGAACCACTAAAGTGAGTTTCCTGAGTAAATAAACAGTACTTTATAACTGTACATTACCATACAGCTTAAATACTAGCAGCTAACAGCAGAAAGCTCTAAGAACCAGTTTCTGGCTAGGCACTAATCTCCTGCTGGACTAGAATACCTGAAATTGGAAATCTATGAAGGTAACTGTATTGGAAATATGTTACTATCTTAGCTACTTCTTTATTGCTGGGACAAAATACTTGGTACCCACAAGTTAAAGGAAAAAAGGTCTATTTCAGTGCATAGAGGTTTGAGTTTGTAATCAGCTGGCTCAAAAACAGGGCAGCATAACAGAGGGGCATCATGGAAAGAAACAGTTCACAGAAAAGCAGGCAGGAATCAGCAAGCAGCAAATTATCCTTTACCTTTCATCAGGCTACAAGCCTTTTGGGTGGTGCCAAGCACATCTAGGATGGGCCTTCCCATGATCCACATCCCAGAACTATGCTAACTATAACCAGTGGACTAATTCAGTTCTCACATATCCCTAATCCATTTTTGCACACCCTAGATCTGAAAAGCCCCACCTACGAGTGCATGAGGCTATGAGGGGAAGCACAGGTACAAGCCATAACAGTTACTAAAATGATCAGGGGCGTCTTTAGGAAATTGGAAAGTAATCCATCTCAAATTTTGAGTGTGAAATGCGGATATTAATCCAACAGAACATTGTGTCAACAGCACACAAATCATTCTGCCCTAACAAAGGCCATGAAGTAAATGCTCCAAAAGGAACATGGACCAAAGTGTTTCCTACACTACCTTCCCCTCTAGCGCTAGGCACTGCTGCAGGCACTTTAATTTTCCCTGAAGATAGGAGCATGGGATGGCTTGTATGGCATCCTACACTCCACATATGAGAGGTCCACAGCTCTTGAAGAAATGGAGAAGCACAGCAACACTAGTCAGAAATGACCCGCTCAAGAAAGTAAAATTGTACACAAATGGAAATGCAGATTAAAAAATGTTTTTCATCGTGCCACATTGTTTTAAGTATTACAGACTTCTTTCTTTAAATTCTCACTGTTGTAATCAACTAAAAAATTTAGTAATACATTGCTTTTTCTTAGCAGCAACACAAAAGGCATGGCCAAACATTAAGAAGTAGGGTTATCAAAAATTACCACAGGTAATTATCATGGGGCTGATTCTTATCCTGAAGTAAACAGGATACAGGAAATTAAGACTAAATGCACATATTGACTAACTTTCTAGGAAATATCATAGGAATATGTTTGTACTGATTTTCATATTAGGATGAAAAGTTTTGATTAGTTTAAAATTTCTGAGAACATCATAAATATAAGGCTGGTGTGGGTAGGTTCATGTGACTAGAACTCTGTAGCAATGAGGTCAAAGTGATAATTTTATCTATGATCTTTAAAATTTGCTGACATGATAATCTAACTGTAACCTAAGTCCTATCATTTTTTTCTTTCTTTCTCTCCCTTTTTCTTTTCCCTTTTTTTTTGGTACCAGGAATCAATTACTACCTTGCACTTTGCCAAGCAGGCCCTGTGCCTCTGAGTTATATCCCAGCCCCATCTATCATTTCTCTTTAAAACATGCTGTGCAGTAAGAGGAAAGGCATGTAATAGTATGAAAAATAACCTGTGACTTCTTTTGGGTTTTTTTTCCTGTGACTTCCTTTTTAAAATAAAAAAAAATCAAATCCATTTTATTTCAAGGATTAAAAAGAAAAGAAAAACTAAAAATTTCAAAGCACATACATCAGGAACCCATGACTTTTTTAATCATGTGGGTGCTGACAAAGAGGTGGCAAAATATTATAACAGAAAGGGCACAAGCTCTCAATTAAACACTGGCATTTAAAAGAAAATGTATAATCACATAGTGTTATGGTTTGTCAGATGCCCCACCCCAAGTCTCATGCAATCATGGACATGGCTAAATCGAGCATTTGTGATTGATGCATTATTTAGCACTCGGATTGGTGGTATGAATGCTATACCCACCCAGGAGTGGAGCCAGCATACTGTGTAAGGGGGAAGAAGGCCACTTTTGTGTTTGTTGTTTGTGGCTATCATGAATGGCTTCCCCACCATGTCACTCTGTCTTGTAGCCAGCTGAGTATGGAATGAACCCCCCAATAACTGTAAGAAATAATCCTTTCCTTCCTTCATTTTGGGTGTCAGGTATTTTGTCTCAACAATGAGAGAAAAGTAACTAAGACACATAGTAAAAGTGAATATATGAAAAGTTAAAAATGGGAAGCCAATGTATGCGTTCTTCATAATACTTGCTAAAATTTATCACATAAACTATCAATAGTTTTTAGCTTATCCTTGATGGGGAAAAGTAGTCTTACTGTATGTTTGAGATTTGCTCAGGAAAATTGTGCTTGCCCTTGGATGGTCAGAAGGGTTTGATTCCAAAGCTGTATCTACAGAGAAAAACAAAAAGATGTGATGACTTAGTTCAGTAGAAAAGTAGATGGTTTTCAAAATAGTTACTCAACACCTTTTAGCTATGAATATGAATGAAATAAAAAGGCCACAACATAAGAATTCTATTGGGGAACTGTATAATTGTAGAATCTGTCCATACATATGGAATAAAACAAGCTATGTCTTAGACTTATTACTCTAAAATTGTACCGAAGTAATCTGATGCAGCATTCAGATGAAGCAAATGCACTTTCAATGACTATATATCTTCCTCTGTTCTACTTATTCAGAAGAATTACAAGACCCCTTCTGCACTGCTGTTATCAGAACATTTCAGGAACATCTTTGAATAGCAAGCACTTCACCCTGGCTTTGCAGATGCCCTGTCAGGGATCAGTTCAGTATAACAAACATTGAGAAACGGCAAATAGTCTCTAGAAATTCAACTGCATGGTTAATTCTAGCTGCATTTAACAAGTGAACTCATTCTGTAAGCTGTGCTATTTGGTGGTTATTCACTTTGGCAGATTTAAGACTACTTAAAAATCTAAATTCTCAGTCTACAAATACTTCCCAGATAGAAACTGATTTTTTAAAATTTATTCTTAATTTCCAAGGCTAGGTACACTTCTGAATCTTGCTTCTGCTCAGCAGTCCATCTTGGAACCAAATTGGGACAATCTTCCATTTAGTAAAGACTATAAAACAGATTCTCAACTTTTGTAATGCACACTTAGCCATTATACGGGATAATAAAAGTCATCATGGGGGAAGGTATGATCCTCTTCAGTAATCTCAAGTAGCTTAATCAATCTTGTAAGAAGTTGCATCAAGGTTTAGATAAAATAGTGGTTAAGCAGTATTTCTTGAACCACATGCTAAAAATTATTCTGCTTTTTAAAAAAAGGTGTTCAGTGGTCAAATCACAATATACCATATATGCCTGGCCCCGCCAAAATTAAAATGCACAATACTATAATGAAAAGTAATTACTAGAATAAGAATGTCTAACTCAGGGTTTTACAAAATATTTATTTAGTATTATTCTTTTTCTCTCTATATATAATATGTTTAGAAACCTGCAAACACATAATCTGGAACTTCCAGGGTTAGCATGAATTTGAATCATTCATTTTAATGGTATAGCCAAATTACTAGAAATTTACTGAAACCCACTTTTTGTTCTCAGGGTAATCCCTTCAAGTTCATTAAAACTATTCTTATATAAAAGTCATGTTTTTTTTGCACATCTTTGAAAGGATGAGACATCTTACATGGAAATATAAACTCATGTAATGAGCAATAAACTCTTGTTTGTTTAGACAAGATTTTCAAAAGTGTGGTGAAGGATCAATTTTATGGTTAACACACGGTATTAACTTGCCTTTGAAAAGGAAATAAGGGCATTTTAGGGAACAGTGCTACTAATGATACAGTTTTAACTGCAAACCCAGCTGTGGGTTTTGAAATCCTATGAAAACTAAAGTCCACATTCTTTGTCAAAGCTCACTAGGCATACAAAAGCCTTCTAAGAAATTAAAATCCAATTCTTCATTGTAGAACACATAACTTGTTTTGTATTTAAGTAGGTATTTTCCAATTTCCAGGGAAAATGATATGAAATTATCTGAAGCAAAGAAAAAAGCAAACTTCCAAGAATGTACACTGCATACTTGGTGCCTGGTGCTGCTTCTACGCAAACTTAATAACCAAATACTGAAGTTGAAGATTTTCGTCATTTTAATGAATGTCAAAATTTTACTCTCTCTGCCGTGCTGAGGACCTAACTCCTTGCTCTATCAATGCTACAAAAGTGAGCTACATTGCTGGTTCTAAACCTTCCATTTTCCAAGACAAATAGAAATGAAAATTTAACCCTCACGTCCAAAAACATAAAACAACAAACTCCACGCTTACGCTTATTTTTCAGTGTTTCAGACTTAGTGCTTATCCTTCTCCTATGCCTGCCTACCCTCTTGTAAGCTTCTCACATTCCACTGTCCACCCCATTCTCACTTTTAATTCAGTTCCCAGAACAAACCCATTGACTTTGCTAGTAAATCTATGCAATTTTGTTACATTTACTTTTATTTGTATCCATTAAAATAAATGTGCATATATGGGACAGAGAGCCAACTGTTGCCTCTGAATTGCACGAAAACTTAAATGGAATTAAGTAAGATGGGGGTAAGTTCTAAGACACAGGTGTACACTATGCATGAAATATAAGATGCATTCTGAAAAGGTTTTGCTCACAAACTGAATTTAGCATGTGGATCGCCTCTCTGTTATTCTCAGCAAGCAGTTAGCCAGATGCTGTTTTACACTGTCATTTCTTATTTTTGTTTCTTAATCAGCAATACACAGAGAATGTACACAGCTTTTCTTTGTATTTGGGAGACCCCAAGTAATGCATGTCATGTGAGAACATGTTGCAAATCATAAAGAATTATATTTTTTCCCTTTTTTATTATTACACATATACGACATACTATTCTTCTACTAATTTTTTGTAAAATCAATTGGGGGTTTACTTTACACCATCAAGCAGAGTATAAATTATCACAAGTACTTACATGTTTTGTGTTTAAAGGTATAATTCACAAATTTTTCATTCTTAATGAGTTTTGAATATTCTAAAGTTAAAAAGGCATGTCCATCACAAGGCTTAGTTAATCTAACAAAGAAACCAATGGCACAACTAAAATTAAAATGAAGAAGAACTTTAAGACATTTTTTGTGTAGTAATGAAATAAATTCTGCCACTGAAATGGAGTAAATGAGTCAAACATCTTTCTGATACAGTATTTACTACTTCACAGGACTTGAGAGTTTATTACTCTGTAAACTCAGTTTTCTGGAAAGATGAGGCAAGATGGTTCCAAGTTGAGACCCAGCCTGGGAAACAGTGGTGTACAGAAACCCTGCTTCAAAATAAAACTTTTAACAAAGGACTAGAGATACAGCTAGGTACAAAGGCCTTGGGTTCAAACCCCAGCACTTCAATAGCAACAGAAAACACAGTCTTCATTCAAGAACCAACTTGTTATCCAGATTGGTTGCTTTCCAAAATTATTGGGATAAAAATCAGACATTTGGTCTCTTCTCTTCAGCAGTTTCCTTTCACCTTAACATTCTTAGTTGAGCAGGATTTTACTGCCAAGTTGGGGGAGGAAAAGAGACAAGATGACAATAAACACACACAACAGTGTTGTCAGGGTCTGGCACTTCAACTCCCAAAACTTTACATTCTTAATATTAAACTCTAAATTCATGTTTTCTCTTTTGAAGCTTTTGACCCAATATCTCATGATCTCATGTGGTACCTCACCTGTTCCTTAGAACGGCAAGATAAACGCTGCTAAGTGACAGAATCAAGGTTGGAAATACATTTGTCAAAGTGGAAAACATGAAGTAATCAGAACTCTAGGTAAAAAACACAAGTAAACAAAAACCTTCTCTGCACATTTGACATTTTACACAGTTATTTAAAGACCCTTTCTCTAATTTTCTTTCTGTGCTCAAATTATTGCAACAAATTAAATCACCGTCCAAAAAGGTGACATCAAGGATATCATATAATCCAGGGATGGTGGCACATGCCTGTAACCCCAGCACTCAGGGGACTGAGGCAGGAGGATCAAGCCTGAGAACAATCTGTGGTATATTGTGAGTTCAAGGCCAACCTGAACTCCACAGCAAAACTCTGTCTCAAAACACCAAGATAACCACAATAACAACAGTAACCACTACCACCACCAAGAATATAAACTTCTATGGCATCCTCTAGTTGAATTTACATAAGATATCCTCAAGTGCTTGGGTCTGAACTGCTAGAGTATCCCTACTTTGACTAAACTGAGAAAGGGAAGAATCAGGTCTTACCTGTTTCCTTCAGTTAGGTGCCAATCAAGGTAAGAACAGGGAGACAAGATGGATGCTCGGACGCTGACATATTTGAATTTTGAGAAGAGGGAGTGAATGTATACAGGACAAAGTATAGAGCTACTATCAAAAAAGGTCCAGAATGAAAGGGGCCAAGAACTGTGTGTGAGGATAGGGATGAGAAAGACAATGAACTCACAAGACAAGGAAAGAGTAAGCATGGGAAAGCAAGGAACTGTCAGATTGAAACCCCTGCCACAAGTGCCCAGCCCCAAGAAAGCCAGCTCCGGGCAAGAAGGAACCCAAATCCACCCATTGCCCTGGGGTTTCAGAAGGTGAGGGCTTCACCTGAGGGCAGAAGGGTGTCCCCACCTCCACCATCTCCTTACCTTGGGGCATCTCCCAGTCACTGATATGGAGCAGGTGGTGACCGTCCCTGGTTCTACTGAAAAACTCCTCGGTTTCCTCGGCAGCAAGTGCTTGTGTCACCACATCTCCAGCCACTGACCCACAGATCTCAGACTTGCAATGCTGCTCCACTGGACCCCTTAGCCGGCCCACCTTAAAGATGGCACTGGGGTTACTGCGACAGGCTGCACTGTTCCCCATTGGGTGCCACTACACCTCCTCTCAGCTGTAGTCAATGAGCTCTGCGCAGAAGCAGCCTTGCCTGCTGTTCATACTGCTGCCCCCTGCCTGGCAGGCAGGCCCCCTAGTTGGCCACCCTTTCCCCAAGCCCTCAAAGCTAACCAGCCTTCTGAGAGACTATTATATAACTTTTTAAAAGGGCAGAGATTCCACAAGTGTTGAGAGCCAGCCACTGCCAAGAGATCAGGTCAGAGCTCTTCTGCCTTCAGCTGCTTCCTACCACCAACTGAAAACACTGGGCCAGCACCTGCCAACTGGAATGCATTCTGTGGTCACCAGGTTACCAGGAGCCAATCAAGACCAGAGTTCCATCCACACACTGCCCAACTGGCACCCAGGTACTTAATTCAAAGTATCTCCCTCCACCGGGGGCCATCTAGCTGCTCACAAAAAAAATCTAAGATGCCTGTTTTTGTTCTTTAGCTGCTCCTGGAGCTTTTTTGGCTTTTGTAACTCTACAGGTGCTCTTGATCCATAGAATTTATAGAAAATCCCAGTTAATAAGGAGCTGGTTCCATGAGCAATTCAGACTCTCTGAGTCTCATGGCTTTCATTTTCTCGTGGACCTTATTTGTTCCAAAACTATTGACTGTTTTTGTACCTAAATGCTTCTCTAGTCTTTCAATCAAATATTCATTTCCATGTACAACTTGGGACTTTGGTCCTACCCTCAAAGGTTTCTGGCTGTTCATCTTGATGAGACTCAGGACTCCTCAAATTCTTATAACCCTCAAATACAATGCCACCTCCCATTTTATAGATGAAACCTAAAATGCAGTTTACCAAGGTCACATTGCTGAGGGGTTGAAGAAGTAGGAGAGACCAAATGGGAAAAGGAGGATTTCTTTTTTAGATGCACATCAGCTCAGCTGATACATCCAAAATGGCTGAGCAAAGGACTAAGGACAGGATCCAGCTTTCATACATTTGGCCAAGAGGGTTGGTCTGTGGCATGGGACTAGTGGGTGGGCCAAAGAACAAAAACAGACTGTCAAGCGGTGACAGTTCTGTGTCTTGGTGGCCCTCCTCAGACATAATAGAATGTTATAAGAACAGGCGATTATAAAATTTACAGGGACAAACGTTACTGCATCTTTATGACTGCTAAGGGTGAGATTACAATACTTTGGATCCTGAGGTAGGACAAATTCTCTGCCATTATCTTGTGGCTGGAAGGGAAAGAGGCTAGGATATAAAGAGCGAGATGGTGGCTAAAGAAATTTTCTTGTTTTAAATGAAAAAATAAGGGCTGAAGATTTAGCTCAGCAACCTAAGTGCCTGCCTGGCAGGCGTGAGGTCATGAGTTCGATCCCCAGTACCTAAAACAAAATGAAAAAAAATAAGAGAATATAAGACTAAAAGACAATTAAAATAGGACATTTGTGAATGCAGGAAAAGGGAGATTTTGTAGACCTAGATCCTAAGAAGGCAGAATGGGTGCAATCCAGGGTAGTGGCACACTACTCTTAGAATACAAAAGCAAGGAAGGATAAAGGACCTATAGAATCACAGAGATGTTTCTAGTAAAGAAGTGTAGGAATACTTCACTTTATGATAATGAGCCTTTTCTCTGTTTTAACAGGATTGTATTTGGAAAATCTCTGGGAAAAACACAATGATAACTAGGCCTGGTGATATATGCTGATGACATGGCTACTCGGGAAATTGAAGCAAAAAGATTACAAGTTCAGGGCCACCTTGGAGAACTTAGCAAAACTGTCTCAAAATGTAAGAAAATATATAAGTAAGAGGTCCTGGGTGGTACTTGGTGGTAACAGTACTGGTTTAGCATGCATGAAGCCTTGGGTTCAATTTCTAGGACTGAATTAGGTATAATACACTTCAAAAAACTCCATGTTCCACTCTTGAAGAACACTATGTAAAATAACAACCCTAGTCATGCTCCTACCACCTTGTTTTGAAGGCCTATGTCACTGCTTTGGGCTCTTTGCTATTGTTATTTATTTGTGTTTTGTTTTGTGTTTTTCTAGTAATGTGTTTTGTTTTGGTTTGTTTTTCCCTCTAGTACAGAAAAGATAGGTATACATGTAGAGGCTTATACATGCATAGAAATTCCCATAAACAGTTTAGGAAAATCGATTATATTATGCATGATGAAATGAACAGCTGCTTTGAAGAAAAAGAAACATTATGATATCCATTGCTGATACCATATCATCATGCTTTGAAATCCAGTAATGCTATTATTCTTTGTTCAAAGTGGCTTTAGTCTGTTTTGTATTGTTCAACTTCAACATACATGAAGGTATGCACAGCTAATTTGAACGAGAACAAGAGACATTATGGCAGCCATTGTTGATTTTCCCATTTTTGGGTTTTGAAGGCCTATAATGCCTTCATCACTCTGTTCTGATCAGCTGAATACTATTTTGATTTGTATGAATTCATTGTGTGTGAAGATATAGACAATTATTTGGAAGAAAACAAAAGACATTACGATAGTCTTGGTAGATATCCTATTATCTTGCTTTGAAATCTGTGTTATTTACATTGTTTTCTTCTAATCTACTTTGTTCTGTTTTGTTATGTTTCGTTTTACCCACTTTAAGGGAAAAAAACCTCCATGTTCCTAGTGAATCTCTCAGTTTGTGAGGGGCATAGTGAGAGGACTGGTTCTAAGATCCTCTCTGGAAACCAAAGTCCAGGATGCTCAAAACTCTTATATGAAAAAGCAAGGCATTTGCACACTAATTTGTATATATTCTCCCATAAACTTTAAATATTCTTTAGATTACTTATAGTACATAACACAATGTAAATACTATGTTAAATGACACAGTGCTGGAGTGTTTATGAAATGACAAGCCCCTGTAACTCCACCCCTATTAATATCAAATAAAATCCTGCAGTTTTCTTTATCCCCTCAAAGGATTATTATGTCTCTTCTGCAGCCCTCCCACACCCACAATACAGGCCTCTTTTTCTTTCTTTTTCCTTTCCTTGTCTCTCTCATATCAGAAGGATCAATCACTTTTATCAGGCAAAAAAGATATTAGGTACAAACTGTTATGTATAAATTCATTATATAATGGTAAGTGGGTCAGTTCATCAAGTGGACATACAAACTGTAAATACATATGAAGCCAGATAAATGCACCTAGATATATTTAAAAAAAAGATATGAAGAAAGACATAATACAAAAACAATACTTTTTAATTCCCTACTTTTAACAATGAACAGATCATTCTGACAGTAAATCAATTATGAAGACTTAAATTTATAATACACTATAGATCAAAAAGCCCTGAAAAAGGTATACAGGACATTACAAAAAGTACACACAAAATGCTTCTAGATGGAGGATGTGTTAGGCCACAAATAATAAATAAATTTGAGAAGATTGAAATAATATTTTCTCACTACAATGGCATTACACAAGCAATCAGAACAGGAGAAAAAATACAAACTTCACAAATATGTGAATTTAAACCCCACTCCCCTAGGCAAAAAGAGAGAGGGAGAGAAAAGAAAATAAATTCAAAGGAAATAACAAAATAAATGAAAATAGAAATACAAGAAAACAAGATTAATGGAAAACTGCAAAAGTGCTACAACAAGAAGAATGTGTGTGTTGTAATCAGGGGTTGTGAGGAGAACAATTAGAATCAGGACATAGAATTTATAATATTATTTTATGATGGGCACCCAGAGTTTAACACAAGAAACTGTAGGAAATCTGTCCGCAACACTAAAGACAAAGAATATTCATCCATGGGCCTGAATCCCACAGCAATATCCTACATGAGTCCAGATGAAAACCTAGAGCCCAGGACAATGCCTCCCACAAGTCCAGCTGGAGGTCTAGAGCCCAGGAGAAGGACGCATGCCAGTCTGTTTTATGGATCTGTGCTGGGAGGCTGTGCCCAAAGGTCAGTAGTGAAAAGAAAGTCTATACCAGCAGGACAAAGGTGCTGTGCTGATAGGTTGAGAGCTCTATGCTAGAGATGAGAAGTCAGGCTCAAACCAAAGACCAGTGCAGTCCTGAAAAGCACCACACCCATCCTCAGCTACAAGGAGGCCTCCAGCTCTGATAATAAGCACCCTTGAGTACATTCCAGGAAGCCAGCATGATGAGTTTCTCATGGAGATTAAATGGCACACATTTTCCCCTCTAGAGTCAGGAAGCGATGATCAACATAAGGACCAGAGCTCTCCCCAAAGTGAACCACAGCCACTCTCACCAAGGTTCTGAGCTCCTCCAATGACAACGGTGGAATTTACACTGAGGAAGCTAGCCATGGCGAGCTCCTCCAGGAGAACCAACCACTCAAACAGCAAACTTAGAGGAACCCACAAAGCTGTTGTACTCTAAGAAAATATCTTCATTATTTTGTGTATTATAGCAAACCTGCAACGTGGCTTACTAAATGTGTTTTTTTATCCTTTTTCCCTAACTGATATGTTAAGTGACCTAATTGATATGTTGAGCAATACTCTCCTCTGTAAAGAATTGCAAGAAACTCACCTAATTGATATGTTAACCATTGTTGCCCTCTACAAACTACAGAAGTTGTGCTAAAACAAGCTAACAAGGGTTGTTAATCACTGTTAGGCACCTCTATTCTCCGCTAAAGAGCTAAAGAAAACTAGGATGGCCCACTAATTTATACTTGTTTGAAGTAACTTGCTTGTGTGCAGAGAGATTTGCGTATGAGTTTAACCCTTTACCTGACCTTGACACATAACGGCCGTTTTCTGTTCTGTATGGCGCCTTATTGCCTCCCTCTCCCCTCACCTATCTATCTAGGCCATAAAGAATTTGGGTTTCTGGTGACCTCTTCCTGACCCGGTGATGATCTGTCATAAAATGAGCCTGCCCCAATTTTAAGAACTGTTTAGCTTCAAAGAAATTACCAGGAAATACTATGGCCCAAACCCCAATCGGTGCTTTCCTCTTGTTCTGTATGCATCAAATGAGTTAGATATCAGATCTTTGTAAAACTTAAGTTTCAGCTTCTTGTAACTCTTGACCCCTTCGCACCCACTAGCGAAAATGAGCTGTCCTGGGATAATTAACTCTCCACTTTCTTCTCCAAATATTGCTGCAGATGTGCCACTCTGAGATAATGTCAGTCTGTAGGATGGGAGTAATTTGAGAAACACCAGGAACTCCCGAGATTGTCAGAGCTAAGTGGACAGCAATACAGTTTCCAGACTCGGGTCAACAAGTTTGATGGCTCTACAGGTTTCTTTGTTTCTC